AAAAGTTCCTATCTATTGAGTTGTCCACGCCCTTGAGTATTATCATGGGTTTGAGTTTTTGCTGATTTCAGCCTGGATGGAGGGTGTGCAGGGCCGATCTTTTGGATTGTAGCTTCTAAATGTTCTTGTTTATCGAAGGACTCTAATTTTTTTTGGTGACAGGGTGAATTCTCAGGGGTAAAGTTGGTGTCCCGGAAGGAGACCCTGCTCTCCATGAGGCGATAGTTTCCGCTGTTGTGGCGCCTTCCTTTGAAGAGACGATGATTGAAGGTTTGGAAGTGTGGGCTGGATTTTTGTTGGTGGAGGGGTGGAGGGGTTGTGCTGCTTGAGCGTAGGTGATTGGGCGGTGGTTAGTGATTATAGAACTTTTAAAGTTGGTAAGTTCGGCCTTAACGGCTTCAATGATTTCAGTTTTTAATGCGTGATTTTCGTTTCTGTCTGATGATCTGACTGCCTTATCTGTAAGTTTTTAGGAGCGCCGCTGCCCGTTTTATGATTTCGGAAGCGTTTGATATCAGTTTTTTGTAGCTGTAACGCTTTTACCTTCGTTAATGGCGGCACTGATGGTATTTGCCAACTTGAAAAATGTTTGTTGAAGGCTGCTAATGTCATGTCACTAAGGGAGGGAGAGGGGAGGTGTTTGGGGTGGGGAAGTAACCCCAGGCCCCGCTTTATTAGATGCCATCTTAATCTCCTCCTGACCCTGCAGGGGCCAGGGTTGTCACTAAAAGAGTCAATAAACCTTCCAGCAGACCGGATTTTGTGGTCTCTTAGGTCGGTTAGGAAGTCACTATGTCACCGATCTTAAATTCGCGCCGCACGCGAAAAACCGAAAAAAAGTAACCTAAAACGAGGTTATATTGATGTTTTGTATGAACTTTTTCCGAATTTTCCACTGATCACGGCGAGAATGGTATCGTTAGAATCCGGCACTGAGCTGGTTAAAATAATGTATAGTATTAGCGAAATTCGCGAAAAAACCCATTTTGGGAATTTTATAACGCGGAGCGGACCGTTTTCGATGCTTGCGCGTTGGGGAAGCGCGCGACTTCCAGGTCGTGTGTTTGACTCCCTATGATAAGGGTGATGGAAAACTTCGTGTGTAAATCAGTCTACCAGTCAAAACCTACTACGTATGTATAGACGGTTGATCGTCTACTTGCCTATAAAGAAAAGTAATTGATAAAACAGAAGCAGAAATTAACTAAAGTCTACTCATCGGTCATCGCTCATTTTTAATCATAGCGTAAATCTAATTTGACAAAAATAAAGTTAGTTTATGAATAGTGTTTCTATTCAGTTAAAAGTATATTTAATCTTAAATAGGGGTTTCAGATGTTAAGCCATTTCTACACCATGTAGCCTCGTCGTGTTTTGTTTTTCATAATTTAGTTCACCAAGTAACTCTATTCTTACAGAACTTGCTAAATTCATTTCTCTTCATTAATAACTTTCCTAACGAAGTTAAGCGGAAGTTAAAACTGTCAAGTCCTCTTGTCATCTGAAGCTTTATTACAAAACAACCTGCGAAAACAACATTTTTTTTGTTGACAGGTAGCTTAACGTTCGTTATCTGTTATTACGTTACATTAACGATGCTAGAGTGGGGAAACGTAATGCGTCCGTTCTTAACTGCAAATTATGATTTGAGATGGTCGGAAGAAATCAAACCCCGCTGATTTTATTGGCTTGTTCCTCTGAATTGTCTTAAGTGACATGTCAATGATAAATTATATCTATTATCGTAGGTTGAAGCATTCGTTTATGGCTATGCGTGATGAATTTGAGTACGAGAGCGAAGCTAAATTCTTTGTTATTTTAGCGGTGTATATATAAGTATAATATATAAGAGTATTATATCAGCAGCTCAGTATCAAGGCGCCCCACTTTCATCCCAGGTGGTGCGTACAAATCCTGGTTGTACATGGATACACGCACATACGTGCGTACATAGGCAGGAAAATAGAGCATAGTTGTTTGTAGGGTTAAAAGAGGCAGAGTGGAGGGCGCCAGAACTCGAGGCCGATCCCCTACTTGCTGGCTCCAGTAAAGGCCCTAACAGGTCGAACTATCACCCTGGCGCAGAGGCTTGCCGAAGACAAGAGAGGAAGTTGTGCGGCGCCACTAACATGACCTACATAAATGAAGAGTGCGACTGAAGAAAAATAGGGTTAGTGAAAATATTGTTATGAAACCAAACCTGTTTAAAAATGAAATATATCTGCCATACATTACATTAAGCTTAATTAAATTAACGCCATTATTATTTATTCAGTATTTAATAACTTGTACGCAACATGTACTCAAATTACAAAGGCCTTGTAGAGAGTGATTCACGAAAAACCCAAGCGATTGAAACACTGGCCGAAAACATGCATTGGCTAATATAATGCACCACGCATCTTAATAAATCTATCGAGAATGAAATTATACTTTATTTCAACGTAATAGATGTCAGTTTCTCATGTTCGCCTCGTCTCGACTTACGTTGTTAAGGTCAACTTTCTACTTAGGTAGCAGCCGGATCTTCATTCACGAAGACTATAGTACGATTGCGTAGTTATGATAGTTTTTCCTTATAGTTCTCCAAGTAAATAAACAGTATGTAAATTTTAGTATGTTCGGGGTATTTGTTGGTTTCGGAGTCGAAGTTTAAGGGATTAAATATTATGACACTGGTCGATATATTCTTGAAGCCTTGTTGTATGTACAAAAACACTTAAACGATTTTAAAACTTATGGTGACTTTCACCAGTATAATATTCGAAACAGAACTAATCTAAGCGTACGACCAACCAGGCTCCAGAAGATAAACCACTCGTTATATGGAAATTATATTCGTTTTTACTACAAACTCCCAAGCGAAATTAGAGAATTATCACTGAATAAATTCAAAACTCTCGTTAAACGTAAATTAATCAATAAAGCTTTTTATAAATTTGACGATTATTATAATGATCCTAATCCTTGGGATCGATTTGCTCCAGTTCAAACAATATGTATGTCTCAAAACTTGGCGATTAAAAAGAGTAGCGGAGAGTTTCTTGCCAGTTCTTTTTGCCCGCTTTACGCTCTTGATTTGCGAACTGGTTGTAAATGTTAATTTAGAATCAATTTAACATCTTTTCTGTTGACGTTCATAAGTGTACTTGGTTACCTATATGAATAAAGTTATTTTGAGTTTGAGTTGTGAGAGTGATGCCGAACTCTCAGTAGCTATAGCGTTCCTGACCTCAACATAGAGATTGTGTATCGATGTAGTTCTTTAAATAACCGCTGTTGTCTTGCGTGGACGTGGTATACAAATTTTACAAAGATTCTCTATTGAAGTAGGGATGACTATCGCTATTTAAACTTACAAATGGCTACACTTCTAAGGCCGTGGTTGAATGCAATCCATGAGAGGTTCAGTCTATGGGTGGGATGGACAGATACAACTGCAAAGACGTAGAGAACTTACTTTGGATATCAGGGCCTTTAATCTCAAACTTCTAATTTTGTTTGTTAGACAATCCCTTCCACTTAACAAACCTATTTACGAGGAAATCCTTTTTATTCACTTTATAAAAGAAGTTGAACAACTGAGGTGCAATGGCAACTAGCAGTATATCATTGGTACGGTCTTGTTTAATAATTATTCAATTAATGTTTTGTCACATTTTTTTACTATAAATATACAACGAAATTGATAAGGAAAAATTATTTGATAGATTTCTTGAGGTGTATAAACCGTTCTTAGTAGCAATCGAGTTTTTGTTTAGTATTGCAAATTATCAAAATCATTGCTGTAGCTATAATCAAGCTTAACTAACTTCGTTATAAAATGCATTGAATAGAATCTATAATCAGCTTACCGATACAATAGGGATATAGTTCATTTATTTTTAATGAATTTAAAATGGAAACTGTTGGAGAAATATTGATTTTTAATTTAAGAGTCTTCCCTCCAACTTTGATTTGGTTCCCTTTCGATTCTTGGGCCGTGGGGTTGATGTGGAGGCGCTAATTACATTTTTTGGCGCCTGGTAGATAGTACCGGTGACCACAGAGCTGGTGCTTTCCTCGATCAACGAATACGTAGCCAATACAGCGAGGAAATGCTGCCAGCATTAAGGGTTCACTGCCACTGGGACCAAACTTTAAAATTTATTTAATTTTTCTATTTATCCAGTTTTAATTATTAATACTATGAATGTTAAGAATATTTTAAAACTCTAAATAACAACAGTAAATAGATATATATTTAGATTGTTTTCAATGTTAAGGAAATTTATTTTTTGATGTTTGTTCTTTGTATCATTGTACCTAATAATTTCTTATAATTATCTTAATTTATCAGGAAATAACAAGATGTATGAGAAAAGTATATTTCTTAAGTATTGATACATAATTTCTTAACAATATACAATAAGTCTATAAATATAAAAAGTTCACATCCATACAATAAATAACATGCATAACATCTTAATATTAATCAATAAATAAATTTATTTACACATTATTATTTACATATAACTAAATGTTTGACCTTGATGCCTCCATTATGTATCAAAGCGCTTGTTACTCGCCTCTCTGTCTGGCTGTCGAAATTTTTGAAGTGTACTCGAGGGTCGTAAGCACTCTCATTTTTCATTCAAACAGTCTATTCAACTTTCTATGCATTATAATTTAATAATAATCTTGAAATAAAACCAGTTAGTCACATACATGAACACTCCATCGCAAAAAATAAGTATGTACCATTTTGATAATGGTAACTAAATAACAATAGTGTTAGGTTAAGCAGATTCTTGAATTACAATTTTATTTAATCTCGTAATGATTCTTACAGTAAAAACATGTTTCTAACATCTGTAACCTAATCTGACAATCCATCATTTTCAAATTTAACGTTATAACTTTCTCAAGGCATAAATGAGGAAGTAGATACAAAAAGTCTTGGTTAATTATGATTGGTCTTAATGGAGCATTGCTCTGCTGTCTATGCTAATATGACTATGTCAGTTTCCTAAAGTCAGCCGCCTAGCCGTAACAAGTTTGTTAATATCGTGGTAGGCGGCGATCATAGTGTGAGTAGGAGTGGAGACAGTGCAACCAGTGCTAAATTGCAGGCAGTCTGTGCCCTCTTGACCTCTCCGCGCTGACCTCATGTATCTGAAGAAACGGAGAATTTCTGGATTGTCCGATACCGGGCGTCGGAGCTCGTTTAGTTCCCTGTAACAAAATTGATATTATAGTCAACGCATTATGAACTGTGGCTTCGGGTCATAAACCATTTATCTGTCTGTCTCGCTTGCACTTACAGGTCTTATGGAGAGGTTAGTGATGTGCGTAAGAATTGAAGAGCTGCATATCGATAACTGTTAGAAAATAAATTCTCCATTGTGCGTATTGCGTAACGAAGCATAAGTAATGTAATGAGTGTCATATTTTTTTTGAAAGGTATCTCGCTGTTGGCCTTACAGGCTCAGCTCGGGCTGTTTTGACGAGCGTAGCTCGGCCTGAATGGGCGTTTGTCCCGCGGCTAGCGCAAGGGCGTGTCCTGTGAGACTCAGACCTCGGCTTCGGCCGTCGCGGGGTGGTCAATCGCCTGAAGGGCAGGACGGAAGCTCACTGGAGTGAGCGAAGTACGCAGTAAAGGTCCTCGCCTTCCCCGGTGAAGACGGTTTTTTACCCTAAACAATGAGTGTCTTAACCAAAAAATCTTATATTTATAGAAAAACAACAACCCTTTCTCGTAACGAGCAATCAGGAGTCAGAGTGCGTGCACAGGTAGCTAAGTATCGATATGGGTTGCATTGCGTGCACATTGCAACTGTCAGTGACATTTATTGCCCGACATAGCTTAAAATGCGTCAACTTTAGTAAAAAATAACAATTGGTTCATTTGCCTTTGTAGTTGTTGCCAGTATATGCTGCACGCATTTTGCACATTGTCGCAGTCTTCATCTTTGACGTAGTTTAATTTAAATTTTAGCACTTATTTGCTCAATAATTCGTCTTTATTTTGAGCATGGATAATTTTTCTAATGATTGAGAAGGCTATGTAGCGACACCTACAATCCCCGCTAAGACTTAATACAACGCGGTAACGAAGTTATTCCGACCACTAAGGGTATATTCCACTTCTCTTCCTTAATTACTGGGGTCTAACCAATAAGTGGTTGACTGTTCGAGGAGGGTCCCTTTCAGTCGGAGGAGATATTCCTTCCTCCACAGCTAGATAAATTTGAGTTTATAATACTACAGTAATATTTGTACCTGCTGAGTTGAGCGGAGACCAAATTGCTGTAGGGCGCATATTTCGCCGGATTAGCATACATCAGGCAGATCAGTTGTTCTCGACACGCTTCCAACTTGACGTCACTCAAAGTCTGTCCTTGGGCGTCTGTTGATGTTTCGCTCGGGGCTAAACCTGTAAATGATTTCCGTACGTTATAATTTGTATCTTGCCAACATTTACAAAATATTCATAGCATCAGAGACAGACGTTAAATTATTATTATAGAGTATTAATAGGAAAATTCCCATTTTATGATAATAAATTTATAGCGTATGCACATAAGTATCAATAGAAATTGCGTCATTGTTGGGATCTTACTTGCTTTTGAATAATTTTATAAATTTGCTATTTGCTATTCGAAGATTGGAAAACCCGCCTAGACATTATTGCGAAAGTGATCAAAGCAACATCTCGCGGCGGTTTTCTTGTCATTTCAAATAATTAGGTAAACATTCCTTATTTTGATACAGCTTATCATCAACACGTCCCAGGTTAAAATTTGTTATTACAACAAGAGTTACAACTTTTCCATAGCAATGATTTGTATATTTCCTTTAATTCTCTTTGATAGCGTTAATGAACAAATAAAGGGCTTTATACAAAAGTAAAAGGAACGGACTTTAATTTTCTTGCTTATTTTACAGTTGTAAGACGAAATATATTCTACATTTGACATCAATGACTCTGTATGTGTCGTTGTGATTTTACCTACAGTACTAAATAAACAATTTTGCAATGGACGTTTAAGTGGTGGTTTAAACATGCTAGTTTTACTGGAGATAATGACAATACCAAACTTAGAAAATTAGTATTTAAATACTAATAAACATAAAGATATAAATAATATTTATTAGCCTACGAGGGCTCGATCTGAATCAGCTTCAATTCCAATATTTAAATTAATGAGCTCCGTAAAAATTTTTAATCAAACAAAGTAAAACGGCATTTCCGTTATACTTTTAAATAGCTCCGAAGTATTAAGACGTCTGATTGAACATAATCCCATTATAGTTTGTAACGAGTTGGGAAGTTTTACCGAGACTCGAGAAGATGCCGTCCAGTCTCGACAGGAGCGGTGAGTAGAACGGGTCATAATTACTCAGGATCATCGATGATGCTGGAATCTTCTGGAAATTCTGAAATAATTGTTTATATAGGGCATTATGAGAGGAATTTCAATTTGTTTATATATTGTTTGACGTTACGGTCAGCTAGACCAGTCACAACAAAGGTTAATTTAAGTAAATTATATATAATTAGAAATTCCTATAAGAGTCTTTCCTCCAATTTCGATTTTGTTCCCTTTGGAGTAGAGACTCTTGAGACGTGGGGTTCAAGTGCACAGGCGCTAATTAAAGATTTAAGTTGGCGTAGATAGTTCCGGTGATGGGCAACTCAGAAGTTGGGCTCACACAGCAGACGCTGACGGAGGCACGGATTAAGGGAAACTGTTACCGCGCCTCCCATCCATAGTGAACAGATGGGGCTGTTGGGTTTTAGTTGTCCATTGCACCATACGGACTGACTCCCACACTCCCTGCGTCACTTTTAAATCGTTGCCCCGGCGCGGGGGTGAGTAAATTGATTTCCCAACAATAAAAAAAAAAATGATAGTTCCGGTGACCCAAAGTCTGGTGCTTTCCTCGCTCAACGAATATGTATCGCAATATAGCGAGGAAATGCTGCCAGCGTTAACGTACTTTAAGTAACCAAACTTTTTAAATTTCTTTTTATTATTACTATTATATAATTAGTAGTTTGAGAAAATTGTAAATACTGTATATTTGATTGTTATGTTTAGGTTTAATTTTAATAAATATATCAAATTATGTAATAAATTCGTTATATTAGAAAAAGAAGATTTATTTGTATATAAAAAGAATGTTACAATTAATCCGATATTTTTTTTTAGATCTTCTGACCAGTGAAACGTACCTTTAAAATATGTTAATAAAAAAGTTATAGTTAAAGCCTTAACGGATTTATCTGTCATCCTTTTCTTCTTCAACTTCAATTAACCTGTCTCTTTTCATCATAGCGTGAATTCAATTTGACGGCCGAGACCAAAGAGTTAAAACTCCCGTTGATGAAGTCAAAAGTTGTTCTATATAAATATTGAAGTGTAATTACTTTATGAATGCAAACATTTTATTATGTTAATTTAATTCAATTTATAAAGACCCTTGTTAATGTCAATTATTCTAAATAAGACAATTTAATGTCACGCTCTCATAAATTTTTAGGTCGTGTTTCAAATAAATTAACAGTAATTATCAATTTAATTTGTAAAGATGTCGTCGCTCAGGTAGGTTTCTTGAGAAATACGACTGTTCTAGACCAGAATGAAACAAATATTGGAACTTAATTGAACTTAATTTTTGACTCAACATTAATTATACAACAATTTTAAATTTAGATTGTAGAGAGACTAACTTTACTACTAACTATATTTACCTTATAGTTGTTAGTCATTTGGTTCTTGTAGTAGCTGTTCTTGGATGGCAGATACGAGACTTTCTGGCCCCCTGGTCCAAACCTGTAATACAAAGATATCACATTTTACTTGTGGAAAAATTCAGTACCTATTAGAACAAAGGCTCGAACCAAAATTCTGTTCATCTACGATGGTTCAGTCTTTCAAAAGTTAGGTGGGTAGGTTAATACATCTCTACAATTCTACCCTCCTTTTCATACAATGCATTGGCTACCGCAACGATTGCACTTAGTAAAAACGTATATAAGCCGCATTGGCCTGAATAAGCCTTAAAAAAATCATTACAGTATTAACATGATGCTACTACAGTGTGGGACTCTCAATCCTGAGGTCGTAGGTTCATCCCCGGCTGTGCACCAAGGACTTTCTGTCTATGTGCGCATTTAACATTCGCTCGAACTTGCCTTAGACACAAAAAGTCGATAGCGTTGCCTATTAGATGGATAAATGATCATTAAGCAGATACATAAATTTGGAGCCCAGACTTAAAAAAGTTATTTAAGGCGCCACTGATTTATTTAAAAAAATAAAATAAAAATAAGACTTAATTTACTTAACTCCAAAAAGTTACACTTATAATATTTATTTTAAATTTTTACTTTAGATACATATTTTAATCAATTAAATCTTTAATGATATAACTATAATCGCCGTTTGAGGCACATTGATAAATAATGATATCAACATGTAATGAGACCAATATTTGTTATTTGAGTTTTAAGATTTGTATATTAATGAATGTTAAAGCTAAACGTTATATATTATTATTAAGGTACCTTATGTTGACCATATTTTCCACTATAAAAAATCGATAACGTCATCGTAATCGTTACAAAAAATAACTAACTCTTGCTGAATTGTATTATTCATCGTACGTGAAGATTATCGTGCCTACTCATCCAACAAAACTCTATTCTATAATAGAATAATAGATATTTCTATTATATTCTATTATTATGAGAGACCGGCATTTTCTCTTATTGAAATCCGTGATTTCAATTATAATTTTATTATTTTTTGATTATATTTTTCACTTTATACTCAAACGACCCTGTCGAACCGAGAAACACTAATTACTTTAGGTCCCTTTATGTATCGTTTACGTTTTAAGTAATTACTGTTATATACGAGTGGGGATTTCGTGAGTGTCCCCACTCAATGATAACATGATTGATATTTTTTAAATGAATGAATGGCGTGTTTGTATAGCAGAGTGAATACTATTTTTGTTATAGTTTATATTGTATATTAAACACAAGTATTAATAATCGTAGATTAAGATTTTATCTAACTAGCTATTAATTAAACAAACATCGTTTAATGTTCAAGTAGCGTTGACACTTTTCGTACTTCCTTAGTATTTGTATCAATTATTCGGGTTGTCATGATAAGATCGCTTTTTAGAGAAAATACCACTTCACTATCTCGTGGTTAAATCTGTATTTTTATATTAGATGAGCAATAAATTTTCTAATCGATGTTTGAGTAAGCGTTTAATATTATACTTTGAAACAGTATCGAATATCTTCGAACAACTTATAAAATTAGCGAAAGTACGAAAAATTACTTTTACGGCGTCTTCTTCGATATGTTTAAATATAACCCAGGCCAGGGGAAGTTTTAAATTATAATACAGAAAATATACGCAGATACAAGATTAATGCTGTGTTGCTATGGGAATTGTACCTATCGTCGCTTAGCTAACAATACCGCATAAGTCAGATTTCTTTTTTTTCAAGAGAAACAAAAACCTTCTTTCCTTCAACTTTTTTTAAAACACACACAAAATAATTTTTTTTATATTTTTTTTTTTTTATAACACCTAAAAAAAAAAAAAAAAAAAAAAAATTTCTCTTTTTTTTTTTTTTTTCCCACCCTTTTTTTTTTTTTTCCCCCAAAAAACCCCCCCCCTTTTTTTTTTTTTTTTTTTTTTTTTTTTCCCCCTTCCCCTCCCCCCCCCCCCTTTTTTTTTCCCCCCCCCCTTTCCCCTTTTTTTTTTTTTTTTTTTTTTTTTTTTTTTTTTTTTCCCCCCCCCCCCCCCCCCCCCCCCCCTTCTTTTCCCCCCCCCCCCCCCCCCCCCCCCCCCCCCCCCCCCTTTTTTTTTTTTTTTCTCCCCCCCCCCCCCCCCCCCCCCCCCCCCCCCCCCCCCCCCCCCCCCCCCCCCCCCCCCCCCCCCCCCCTTTTTTTTTTTTCCCCCTCCCCCCCCTTTTTTTTTTTTTTTTTTTTTTTTTTTTTTTTCCCCCCCCCCCCCCCCCCCCCCCCCCCCCTCCCCCCCCCCCCCCCCCCCCCCCCCCCCCCCCCCCCCCCCCCCCCCCCCCCCCCCCCCCCCTCCCCCCCCCCCCTTCCCCCCCCCCCCCCCCCCCCCCCCCCCCCCCCCCCCCCCCCCCCCCCCCCCCCCCCCCCCCCCCCCCCCCCCCCCCCCCCCCCCCCCCCCCCCCCCCCCCCCCCCCCCCCCCCCCCCCCCCCCCCCCCCCCCCCCCCCCCCCCCCCCCCCCCCCCCCCCCCCCCCCCCCCCCCCCCCCCCCCCCCCCCCCCCCCCCCCCCCCCCCCCCCCCCCCCCCCTCCCCCTTTCCTCCTTTCCTCCCCCCCCCCCCCCCCCCCCCCCCCCCCCCCCCCCCCCCCCCCCCCCCCCCCCCCCCCCCCCCCCCCCCCCCCCCCCCCCCCCCCCCCCCCCCCCCCCCCCCCCCCCCCCCCCCTCCCCCCCCCCCCCCCCCCCCCCCCCCCCCCCCCCCCCCCCCCCCCCCCCCCCCCCCCCCCCCCCCCCCCCCCCCCCCCCCCCCCCCCCCCCCCCCCCCCCCCCCCCCCCCCCCCCCCCCCCCCCCCCCCCCCCCCCCCCCCCCCCCCCCCCCCCCCCCCCCCCCCCCCCCCCCCCCCCCCCCCCCCCCCCCCCCCCCCCCCCTTTTTTTTCCCCCCCCCCCCCCCCCCCCCCCCCCCCCCCCCCCCCCCCCCCCCCCCCCCCCCCTCCCCCCCCTCTTCCTTTCTTTTTTTTTTTTTTTTCCTCTTTTTTTTTCCCCCCCCCCCCCCCCCCCCCCCCCCCCCCCCCCCCCCCCCCCCCCCCCCCCCCCCCCCCCCCCCCCCCCCCCCCCCCCCCCCCCCCCCCCCCCCCCCCCCCCCCCCCCCCCCCCCCCCCCCCCCCCCCCCCCCCCCCCCCCCCCCCCCCCCCCCCCCCCCCCCCCCCCCATATGTAATAAATATCTGAGAACATATATATTTTATATATATATATATATATACAACCCTGTATATACAGGGTGTCCCAAAAGTCGACGTCAAGTCAATATTTTCTCATAGGTAATGCCACACCAGTTATCAGAAAAAAAAAAAAAAATAAGTCATGTATTTTTGAAGTTATGGATTTTTTTTGTTTTTCCAGAAAATGCACACCATGTGACAGTTTTTTCATTCCTGTTGTTACAAATATTTACTTTTTGCCAATTTTTTTTCTCTTACGTCATCCCGAATAGTGTTTTATATAACCTATGATCCTAAACTCTGTGCTGATCACTCCAACTTTTAGGAAAATGTCATTTTATACCGTACCAAGTTTTCAAAATTAATTTTCGCACTACTTCAACTGATCGTCCTGAAAAAAAAATGTATTACTCCAGTTTGGCAAGTAGCTTTAAAAGTTAGCGCATTTAATAAGGATTCTTCAGTGGTATAACACTGAGTCCATTATTTCTTAGATCGGCCATAAGAATTTTTTTTTGTTAAACAAAGTCTGTTTTTAACAATCTCTTTGAAATTACAACAAATGATTCTAGCGCACCCAAAACGTTCCTTATGACCACAGCGTGGTTTAAATAAGATGGCGTAAAGTGTGAGCGAGACAGATAGTGACGCTACTTATTGCTATTGACACACGCACTACAGGTCAGTACGCAACGCTCCTTCGTTTACTACGCATCTTTTCGTATTCGCTGGTGTTATTTTGTGTTCTAACTACTTTGGCTTCGTTTACGGACTTGTTTGCTTGTGATTTGGATTTTACATTTGTGATCTACGACGACCTTTACTTTTCCCTGGACTTACGTGTTATTGTGTATAGGTTACATAAAACACTATTCGGGATGACGTAAGAGAAAAAAAATTGGCAAAAAGTAAATATTTGTAACAACAGGAATGAAAAAACTGTCACATGGTGTGCATTTTCTGGAATAACAAAAAAATATCCATAACTTCAAAAATACATGACTAATTTTATTTTTTTTATTTTTCTGATAACTGGTGTGGCATTACCTATGAGAAAATTTCAACTTGACGTCGACTTTTGGGACATCCTGTATATATAATATATATATGGCTTTGACTTGATCAGTCGCTGTTCGTGTTAAGACTTGGAATTGACGGATTATGAGTTAAAATATATTGCCTTACCTATCTTTGTATATTCAAATCCTATTAGCCTAGTGACTAAATGAATTCTCATGAAATTCATAATTATATTTAAAGAACGGCTTAATAATCTACTTTGTTATGTAAGAAATATATTAATTTTCTTACCACCTCCGAGGCTTGATATATATATTATATCATGTAATTCTGATTTACATTCCCAGGGAAGTAATAATTCTTTCGCGTAAATAGGCTCAGAAGAAAGATCACAAATATAATTTTCATATAGACGTTTTAATGTATTTGCTTAGCATAACTTCCGCAATAAAAAACGATAGATTCGATTGAATTTTTTTGTTAAATTGACCGCAAATGAAGGCCTTTTATCGACAGGATATCAATAAAACTTGAATGTAAGCGAAAATCTGTGCAATCAAATTAAGTGAAATGGACTCCGAAATTAAGTCGCGTGACGAAGCTATTTAGACTGTAAATTTGATTTTATATTCTCAGTAGGACAAAAATAAACGCTTTCTTTGTGTTTGTTTATCAAAGAAAGCTAATGACAAAAATATGAATGCACATAGGTAATAGTAGTTTAAAATATAGCAAATGAAAATACAAAATAAATGTTGATATTTAGAGTAGAAATAAAATGCAGCCTGCTCAATTAGATAGAGATAATTGGAAACGCGATATTGAAACCGCGGCGTTCGGGTGACACTATGAAATTGTATTATAACATATATGATGTAGAGAATATATTTATTTTTTTTATTTACAAGGAGGACAGACTTTATCGCTTTAACCGATCTCTTCTAGGCAACCACTGCATTATACTTACGAAAACTCAATTCAATCCGTGGAGTTGTTCAAATCGGTGTAATTGACAGGTAGCGAAATTGTAGAGATTCCGTAAGCGATACCAACGATCTATGTTAATCTGTGCTCTTCGAAAGCTTGTTTAGTACAATTTCCTTTCAATCAGTGATTGAAGAGAGCCGAAATTGGCTATGTTTGTCACTTAATGAATTTAAAGACGCAATTCGAGATGAATCATTATGAAAATGAGCTTGTATAAATCAGATTGGTTCTGACTTTAATAGTTAGTTTAATGGCTATTTCTTGAATTTGGGAATGTTGGATTTATATTGGGAATGAATAATTATTGTGAGACACGAAACAAAACATTCATTATGTAAACACAATACAAATTGCAAACATATTTAGTAATTTCATGTGTCCTATTTATAAAAGATGTAGTAAACTATGTATAATGAAATAAGCTTGTTTTGAGGAGTCTGGAAGAGGACGGAACGATTTTCGGAGGTTCAACGGATGACGAATCTATAGCGTATTTTGTAAATTGTAATTATAAGCATTATTAGAAGATCATTATTAGTTAGAAGTTGGCGTAATATTTTCTTCGAGCACTTTAGAGGTTTCCATCTTAGTATTGCATTTTTCTTGTTCATTTTAAAGCCCATCCACACGCTTGACAAACAATGGCAAACAGCTAACAGCAAACAGCAAACACGGACGTGTGGATGGGTGTTTGTCGTTGTTTGTCGTTGTTTGCCTGTTTGTGTTCGTGTTGGGCATTGTTCGGCATCGGTGTCGGTTTATCTTGCCAGATCAAAGGATGTTTGGCAAACAGTTTGCTACGTATCCACACGTTTGGCAGCGATCAGTATGCGCGCGAGCTTGCGGGAGGCGGACGTATTTACTTGCTACACTTTCGTTGGCGCGCAAAGCGTAAAAAATGTCTGATTGGAGCACCTAATTCGACATTTTTAAGTAACTTTTAATAAAATTAAAAAAAAACACGGCAAAGTAAAGCTCAAATAATAGGTCTAAAGCCTTGTACGCTTTCTATGTATTTTAATCATCCACCATGTCTTTGCTTTCTTCTTTTTTCCTTTTTTCTTTCTCTTGCTTTAATTTATAATAAAAATATGTCAACCGAAAGTAATAGCTGCAACAAGCTCATCGTCCGCCATGTTTGCCGATCGGAATGTTATGAACGTTCGCCAAGCATGTGGATGGCTGTTGTGTTGGGTGATTGTGGTTGGTGTTTGGGACTTCGTTTGCTTTTGCGGTGTTTGTGACAAACAGCCAGCGGTGGATGCCCCATTAATGGTCACTTCCAATCGAAACGTTATAAAATGTACTAATCATATTTTACAATAAACAGTATGTTTTTATCACATTGGAAGTTGGAACGGGTTTACTCGTATAGAAATCATTATTTTGGTTTAAATAAACACTACGCCACGACATACAATGCAACTTGTCGATAAAACAGAGCAAGCGCCAACTAGCGACACAGACTGTTTGAAAGTTTGGGGGGGGGTTTTTTTGTTTTTTCTTTTTTAAAATATTTACCTGGACATATCATCTGCGCTATCATTGGGGTCAGTTTCGCCATTATAATCCTGTAACGCGAATTGACCAGCATTGTTTGTCTCGTATCCCATGAATGCTTCTTTGTTATCGTAGCTGGGATCTTCGTTGTTCGCCGGTGGGTAGCTGGCCTGGCTTGAAGTGGCTGATAGTGTTGATATACCTAAAAACGGTATATGGTTATAATGAAAAGTTTATTAGAATATTTAAGAATTACAGTTTCAGATATTATATGTCATCTGTCAAAGTTTTATAGTTAAGATTTAGCGTTTAGTATGGCTTCGTTATGACGACATTTAGTTATGACTAAGTCTCTGGGAGCTTAGTCAAGATGCCTTAACAGTAGTGCATGTAGAAAGTCGAAAACTAAATTTGTATGAAAATTTGTCGACACGAACTGTCATTTTGAGGTCCGATTTCTAATTCGAATCTCACGTCAGAATCTCTTGAGTGCTGTGAAATATGCCCAACTTCATACAGAAAAAATGGTTTGACAGCTAAAACCAAATCTAAAAGCTTTGTTCTGTAACAATGTACGTAATCACCATAAAGTTAAAAATTAAAAAAAAACCTTCCTCTCCGTTCTAAGAGGTGTTTTTTTTAATTTAAATGCAATTAACTGCTTTTTTGTGATGATGAGCATGATGTAATGGTTGCAGGTTTATAAACAAAAAACTTGGCGATGCAAAAGAGCGACGGAGAGTTTATTGCCAGTTCTTCTCGTCCGATCTACGCCCTGAATTTGAGAACTGGCAGTAAATGTAAATTTAGAAGCTTTCACAAGTGTACATTAAGTTACCTACATGAATGTTGTTTATATCATTATAAACAAAAATGACAAAAGCGACACTTAAAACCAAGTATGTAATAAGCGCTAAGTGATGTCTCGCTATCGTTGATAGTGTCTATCAAGCAAGGTTTATGTATCTTTATGTATATAAATCTATTTGTATATATAAAGAACTAGTAGACTAGGCCAAGCGTTGCTGTGGCTAAGATTTTTGTTATATTACATAGTAGTAAACTATTCAAGAGAAAAGGCAGGAGAACACCAATCCACCATGCTTTTTTGGTGGTTATGCTATTAAATTGTAGCTTATGTGAAACGTTGGTAATTATTTTGATAAGGATCAATACCTAGGTACGAATAAAGAGCCATTTCTAGCGGTGGTATTAATAAAAAAAAATATTAAAAGGACGCTTATTGTGACGTAACCATAAAAGATAGAGACATGCTGTCGCGACATTTTTTATAGATAGTGATGTGTCCTGAAAAATTGTAATACATCATTTTGTTCTATCATTAATAGTTTTCGCAGCGCACACGATTGAAGGAATTTTTTGTTTATTTTTTTACACCTTGGGTTAGATTATTCAAGTTTTAGTAAGCATCCCTAATTTTTTTTAATGTCACTCGGGAATAGTGTAGCTTGCCAACGGTGAAAGAATTTTTGAAAATTTTTAATTGGTCCAGTAGTTTCGGAGCCTATTCATTCAAAAAAACAAACTTTTCCTCTTTATAATATTATATTATAAGTATAGATTAAGTTGTAATTTTGTAATTGAAACGGCTGGAACGACGTGTGTGTGTTTAAGTGGATTGGAGAATAGTTTAGATTTACAATTAGTTTTTATTTTTATTTTTGACGTGTACAGAACAAAGTCCGTTGTTAATATATAAACTAACAGCGCCATCTGTGTTGATGTAATACGCGACTGAATTAATATCAAGACAATTCAGGATAAAGGGATACATCCTTCTTCGTACATAATTTAATGCGGTATATTCTCAAGGGAACACAATTGATATTGTAATTAATTCCTGAATTTCTAAGCTACGCAAAGCTAAGATTTGATAAATAATTTTGTAAAATTGAAAAGCTTCATGCATTTAGGCAACTCTATTGAAATAATGTGTTTTTATTCAGGTCAATACAATTTTATTGTATAAAAATGTTTTGTTTTGTTCCTTTGTTTGAATAGTTAACCGGTAAATTGCACCGTTCTTAAGATGTATAATTAATCCAGCATTAAAGGTAGGGTATAGCTATGAGTACGGCTGGATGGATTTTTATAAAGACATTTTAAAGTCAAAGTACATAATATAAACCTAAATATTGAAGTTTTGTTTTAAAACATACTCTTGTGAACATAAAAAAGGGGTTTGCGGAAAGTACACCCTTATGAGTAACTTATGTTTATTAAGTTTGCAAACTTACCTTTCCCGAGAATTTTGCCAAAACTTCCCAAAATACTGGGTAAAAACATCGCCAAGAGGATACTCTTGAATACTTGCATCCCAATCAGCAAGGGAAGGAAGAACTTCTTAAGGCCGAACGCTGAAACATTTTAACAACTTAAATAATTATACAGTTCCTCACAATTAATTTCATTAGTTCCTTTGTAAAAAATAATATTAGTAAATGAACCATGTATTAAATAGGTTTAACCTATTGACTGTTACATAATAACGTTTACCGTGATTTAAGTTAAAAATGTCGAGTGTAAAGTTCATATTCGTAATCAACTCTACAATATTATGAGGCAAATATAGTAATAGTAGTGGAACTACAGATAACAATATTAGTGTTGCTGGTTGAAGACAAATCGTAATAATAATAACGTAAGCAAATTGCTAGGGTAAACCATAGATTACTTTTTAAAATTAGCACGTGGACAGTTATTATTTATTTAAAAAAAGGTTCTCCAACGGGCATAGAAATAAAAATAACAATAAAAAGTAATTTCACGTTTAACAGGCAAACATAGCACATTTTGTATTTATAGTTTTATAACTACTAACAGAATACTTAAAAATTATACATTGCTAGGCGAGACATATAAATGATAACTTGTTAAAAAATGTTGAAGTACAACGAACTGTAAGAGAGGTGAATAGGGGTCAAATATAGTATGTACATATATTTAATAAACCATCTATATTTTTTACGATTATGGAGGAGGGAGGATTATTTATTGAAAGGGATTATAATATTAAATATTATCACGAAGCCATCACAAGATCAGTGGACCCTTACTGAAGCCTTTGCCATTTTCAGGTATATGTTAATAATATTATATTATACCCCTTTGTCTCTCTTAGTGTGTGTGTTAGGAAGTCTATTAACGATAAACCTATTATTATAATAGCTTTCATATTTCTATGGATTTTTCTTTTGTTTTATTTACAAAGACAAACAGACATCAACAACAAACATTCAATAAATATCCAAAGCATAATCCAAAACGATAGCACGTTCAACTAACGAAACAAAATCTTTAGTCATTATTAGTTTTTTAGGTTTTGGTTCTTGGTTCTTGTTCCATTATAATATTTTATAATCATTGATAAATGGGGATTACTGTTAGAGTAAAAAAAATGCAAATAAATTATTAAAACTCAAATGAAATCTTATTAAATTTTACTCACCATTAATATTTATGAAGGTCACTTAAATCTAAAAAAAATCTCAAAATAAATACAGCACCGTTACAACCTTTTAGATATGGGCCTCAGATCTCTGTATCTGTTTCGTGAACATTTGTTTTCTTTAAAAGGCAAGTAGATCGTTGTTTTTTTGGGTCTTACATATGCTGGTTTCCTCACGATGTTTTCCTTCACCGTACGAGCGTGTGTTAAAATGCGCACATAGAAAGTCCATTAGTGCACGATGGGGAACTTACGTGATTAGGGATGAAAGTCACGCGTAAGCCACACGCCAACACTGCTCCAGAAAGAGAAATACCTTACCATACTCAATGTTTTTATTTAAAAAAAATACTTACATCTAAATCCAATAAGTCTGGCTGCTTTAGGCAAATTTATAGACAGAATATGCGTGTCTAAAAAGTCTTTAATTTTCCTGAACAATCTGTATTCGTAAGTGTACGAACTAAATAGCGCCCTCCCGTCATTATCTTCTTTACTTTGATCCGACTTCACACTCACAGATTTAATTTCGAGTCCATCAAATAATTCGTACTTGTCTTTTTTTAACGCTTCGTCTATTGCGTTCTCTAAGACGTGACTCAAATCTCTCTCAGTATTATTTACAAATACATATTTCTCACAAAATTCACTAACTGTATCTATTATATTACCTACAACACTGTCATCGTTTGATCTATTTACATCTTGACTATTTAGACAGCTATGGCAGGGTGCATTATCTAAAGTATTGGTATTATCATTTCTAATGTCAGTGCAGTTGGTTTGTGCAAAGTATATCACGAAGATAATTATCGTCCTCTTGATGATTCGTTTTTGTGTGCAAATCCGTTGATTTTCCATATTGTCTTCTAAACTTCATCACCGGATGATTTCCCGTAATTTATAGTGAAAATCTGCAACAAAGAGGAAGAGTATTAAATTTCCTAAAGAAAATTGTGAATCGAGATATAATAGCTTCTCACTATTGTTATGTTGATTGAGAAAATGTCCGCGTTGCACTCTGTTATGAGTGTAGCAATGTTGTTTATATGATATAACTTTTATGTATTTTATGAATAATTTTTACATTTTATATTCGAGACGGTAGAAAAATCTTAAATGCTAAATATACACATAATACCCAAGCAGTTCAGTTATTATTATATTATGAATAATAAATATTTACAAGTTATTTGAAAGCACTCTCTATAATAGTCATAAATATAAATGTAAAATCTTTCCCAGTAAAAGAAACACGCTATTATTTCTATTAAAAATATGGGAATAATTATTCCACACGGTTTGGGCTTTTGTGAGTGAGTGATCTATTTTAGTAAACAGGAAATTCGTTAACGAGTCATTCAGGTTGCACGATTTCTAAGTTCGCAAGTGAACCAAAGACCCTTCATAGTCGAAGTTTTCGATCTGACGTCTCAAACTATCCTTTGAGTTGAAAATGGCGTAATAGGAGTTTATGTCAAAGGCCGCATTTTTTACATTAATAAGTGTTATTTGTTGTTCGTAAGGTAATAAATAATATTTTTAATTTTATAATTGATTACGAAGACGATTCTAAAAATTATTATAGTGGTATACAATTAGTTTAGCTAAATTTATATACAACTTGTATTATGTACTACATACTACTGTAATATACATATGTTAGTTAGTATTTTGTTAGTCAAATCATAAAAATGAATGGAATATCAATTAAATAATCATTTAACCATGAGACTTCCATTTTTCAAATAGGTTTATAGTTTAGGTTATTTGTTTGAAATTACTTTAATCTATAAATACATAATAATCCCTTATTCCGAGAATGTGATAAAATATTTCTCCGGACGTCTTTATCCGTAAATCACATTTGCTGGTTTGGCGATTTCTGCATTCTGCTGACTCCTAAAGTTGAGAAAAATTGATTCCGTGTCCGTACTTACTGTCTGTGTGAACGTGACAACTTATTATATATTTATATATAATCGTCGCACACTTAAAGCCAATATGAGCCCTTTAGTTTTTACCACACTAAATTGTAATTTAACATTCCCGTTTCCGATAATCTCCAATAACATAAGTGTCACTTAGATTTACGAACTCTTCAGTAAGTCAAGTTAGTTTTTTGTTAATCCAGCGTGGCAACCCCACCTCTAATGTTATCTTAGTTATAAGCTCATGTTTTAAACAATTAAAGTTGACACCCAGCTTCAAACAAAGTGTTTCATTTAATTACTGAATATATCTAAAACAACCGCCGCCGAATTAACGAGTAACTCACGGTAGACAATTCTTTGAATAGGTTGTCTTTCAATAGAATTCAAATTAAGTTTCCTTCCTATAAATACAGTGTAGTAAACAAAAACAATCTAATTCAACGTTTACGTTCGTTTGCCATCAGCGGTAATAAATATTTGACATAGAAATAAATAGCCAAATATACAGCAACGTTTTCATCTTCTCTTTAATTTTTACGAAATATATTTCCATTTTCACTCAACGAATGCAAATATGTACCTACAAATCCTGCATTACATGCAAAACATGGGACCTTCTCGAATCTCTCACATAACTTTGCCCGGGGCAATCTTATTATGTAGAACCTCGCTTTTTCAAAAAATTGTTCCTATACTTTTAATCATTTTTTTTTTCACAAATAACAATTACCTATCCTTCGAATAAAAATCTAGACAATCTACTGTGCACCTTGACTTTGTGGAGCTAGCTGCCTGTCGATGTACTCTTGAGGGCTTGGACATTAAATAACATATCTCGAAGACTTAGCAGTATAGTTAGCCTAGAAACGAGAGTTATTGCTGAGAGCTATCTCAGGTGATGATGTGTGTATGTGATGGTGTCAGGATGAGTTTGTACCCTTTCTATATTATGTACACACACAGTGGCATAAATATTTAATAAATAGTGGAGGAGAAGTTGATTTTTTTATCAAATAGCAAATTAGCCACAGCTATATAGCCTCCATACTATGTGAGATAATATAAGACTTGTATTTTGGAATGAATAAAAAATTAAATAAAGGTAAGAAAAAATGGAGGCATTGATCGTAAGTTCCCGTTGTCCCCAAAAACAAACAAAAGTAAACATAACTCACTAAAATTAACATTACACTACATAAAAAATAACATCAAGTTTTTGTTAAATTGGCTTAAGAAATTAAATTTTGTTTCACATGCGAGCTTTTATAAACTCCGTCTACGTGAATAATATCAAAAAATAAATTTTGTATGTAAAAATTCAGTTATAGTAATATTAGTCTCACAAAAAACATGATAATAATGTGTTTTCAAGAATTCCTTTATCGCCTTTCGATCTTAATAAACACATCTAAAGAGAAATTTGCAAAAAATACTTTACGCGGAAAAGAAGAAAACCACTTTCCGCGGATTAAGACACAGACCACATCGCACCAGCTAGGACCATGCATTAATCACAGCTATTTAAATAAAACTTTATAAACGCGAAATTTTTACATAACTTGATTTCAGTGCTCTTCAGCAATCATGGTGATGAGAATTTAATTATATATATATATATATCTCATCGAGCTTTCGTCTGAACATTAAAATATGTTTTCCGTACCACGTACTTGGCCAGACATATTTCTGTCCAGTTTTAGACGCACGTATATGGAAATGTATATCTATAATACAATCTAACGAACACATTCTATTTCCGAAATCCCAAACAAACAAACGCTAAGGCGGAGTCATACTGCTATATATTTTTTAATTTTTTTATTGTTACGTTTTCCAAATAATTCGGAGGTGTTACAAAGCTTACATAAATGGTATTGGTTACCCGAATGTTTACTTTCTATTACTATATTACCATATTACTATACTACTATATTACTATATTACTATTTCTACTACTACCTATTTCTTTTGACAATCCCCTGCATGACCCTCACAGCAAATCCCAAAAAGATGGCCCTCAACCTAACATTGAGCATTATTCCCTTCAAACTCGTCTCCGTTACCCTCATGCCCATAGCTTGCTCAGCGTTACACCTGTCGTATCCATACATGGGACAGTCGGTCAGAACATGCAGCACTGTCTCTTCAGCTGCATCGCCACAAGGACAGGTAGCACTTTGTCTAACCCTGAACCTGTAAAGATACGACAAGAAGCCACCGTGACCTGTCAACATCTGAGTAATAAATCCCGTTGGTTTTGTTTAATTATCGAAAAGGCCGAAGCAACATTTGGAAGGAATAACTTAGTTATTGCAGCTGTTTCGCCGTCTCGATATCTGTGATTCCATTTTTCTATCGTGTTTCCTCGTAGACAGTTCTTCAAATGCGATATGGGAAATCTATTGTACACGGGCGCCTCTTCTAGATGCGCAGCTTCCTTTGCTAGTTGGTCTGCTCTTTCATTCCCCTCCACGCCCGAATGCGCTTTAACCCAAAAAATATCAATTTTTTTGTTGATTAAACGCGCTTTATTTATGTTCTTACGAATTACAACTACAAGGGGATTGAAAGAGCGACCACCCGCAACACTTTCGAGTGCACTTCGGGAGTCACTAAATACGCCGTAGGTTGTTTCTGGGTGACAAAGGATCCTTTGAGTTGCTTTAAGAATAGCCACCAGTTCAGCTTGATACACGGAACAGCATGAAGATAGTTTCAATTTAAAAGTCTCAAATTCGGCACCATTTTTCCATAAGGAAACGCTGGCACCGACCAATTCGTCTACTTTACTTCCGTCCGTATATATCTTTACTGCCGGTGCATCTATTCTAGGACCCTCTTGTTCTCTATAGGCTATAAATTTGATATCAGATTCTTTGGAGGGGTGAGGAATACACATCCACGATACTCTTTGCTCCAGGTCACCTTCCAATTCAGACTGAAATAATCCTCTCTTTGCTTCGTATAGCACAGCGGCCTCCTGGATTCTAAGGTCTAGGGGCAATAGTCCAGCGAGGATCAAGCTGGCATTCAGTGATACGGTTCGGTAAGCTCTGCAGAGCTTCAGCGCGAAGCCTCGTTGTACTGAATTTAATTGCTTCCTAATTCCTAGCTTTTTAGTGGCTGGAGCCCAGACTGCTGCCGCATATAAGATTATCGGTTCGATGACTGCTGTATAAATAATATGTATTACATCTCGGTGTAAACCCCAGCCAATTCTCGCCGCCCTTGCTAATTGTTTGTAAATATTTGTTGCTTTCCTGCTTATATTGGAGATATGTTTATTAAAGGTCAATTTAGCATCGAGAGTCAAACCAGGTATTTTTATTTCATCTGATAGGTTCACGGACACTCCGCCCATATTCAAATGTGGTTTGTCATATTTTATTTTTTTAGTTATAATCATAGCTTGGGTTTTTTGTGGAGCAAATCTGAGTCTATTTTTGGTACCCCAATCTATTACATAGGCAAGAGCAGCATTAGCATTTCGTTCTATTTCAAAAGCTGATTCTCCGACAAACACCATGATGACGTCGTCTGCAAAGGCTTGACAATAGTACCCCTTTTTTTCCATTTCTTGCAGCAATGGATCCAAAAGTAGGTTCCAGAGTATAGGGCCACCTATGGATCCCTGAACGCATCCTTTCGATGTATTTCTATTAACCTCCTCTCCTGCATATTTTAGCTGAACCTTTCGTTATTTTAGGTAGCTATCTATTAGCTTTCTCAAGTTAATCGGGACCTTAAGTTTAGCCAGCTGGCCACCAGGCACTGACAAAGGCGCCCTATACTGCTATATTGTATTCATTTGTTTTTTAAGTGAAAAATATAATCTAATTTCAACTAAAATAGTCATAGTAATATATTAATATCAATGCTGTAAGTTGTACTTTTATATTCTACTATTATTAGTTATTTCAAAACACA